CAACAGCAATAAAACTGACATAACTGGCTTTTTCACTCCTGCCTAAGGAGTCCAATTAGCAGCCATGGAGCTTAATCCCAGTTAATTTCACTCTGGGGCTGAAGCAGCCAGAAAAAAATAGGAGCAACAGTTTTGGTGCTGCCTGCCTGCAGACTTTGAAAGGTAGAACAACACTATCACCAGGTTATCCTCATTTTTGCTAGGGATGGTTGTGTGGTGAGGATAAGGGAAAGAAATTTAATTGTTTTTCCAGTGGAATTCAAGATTTTGGAGAGGCTCCCACTGTGGAGACAGGCCATGAAGCAGGTGTAACACTGACATTAGCTCTCCACACTAAGATTGCAGTCCCTCTGTGTGCAACTGCCATACACCTGGGGTTGCCAAGCCTCCAGGATTGCCCTGGAGTCATGAGGAATTAAAGATTAATCTTTAATTAAAAATTGTGTCCTGTGATCAAACCTCCAGGAATTCAGCCAGCCAAAATTGGCAACCCTATACACCTATCATGATTAACATTGAGGGCCCCTAGGTGGCTTCTGCCCCAGCAGGGAGTCAGGGCCCCAAGGATGAGATGGGGTGCCTGAAACTGCATTGTCAGTGTAGTTACAAAGTACTTTCAGAACAATTTGCTACTCGTTGCATCTACTGACATCTAAGTGTGTTTTGCTTCCCTGCCACAATTTGCTATGCCATATCTTTCCCCATTGACAGGTCCTATGGCAGCAAGCTTTACTCCCTGTCAGCATTTGCTCCCCTGCTCTTTCCCACTCTGCTAGTCCTTGCAATGTCAGTTTTGATTTAAATTTGCTTTAACTCTGCCCCCTGGAGCTGGCAATAGCCACTGGGGATGGTTCCGTAAGTGTTGCTATAATAAGTAGACCTGAGGAGGGATTAAGATTGTACTGTTGGTTGTGTTGTGTTCCACAGACCTGAACACAAGTATTTAGCTGCATGCACTGCAACTGCCATTGTCTGTGTTCAGTGTAGCTGTACTGAATGGTGGAGGGATTAGTTGGACCAGGTTGGCAGAATTGTCAAGGCAGTGGTTCTCAACCAGGGGTACACAGAAGTCTTCCAGGGGATACAACAACTCATCTAGATATTTGCCTACTTTTACAACAGGATACATAAAACATACTAGAGAAGTCAGTACAAACTAAAATGTCATAAAATAACTTGTTTATATTGCTCTATATACTATACACAGAAATGTACTTTTATATCTGATTTTGTAAGCAAGTAATTTTTATGTGAGATAAAACTTGGGGGTACACAAGACAAATCAGGCTCCTGAAAGGGGTACAGTAGTCTGGAAAGGTTGAGAGCCACTGCCTTAAGGGATCAATTATTCCTCCTTTCAGTGCTGAGTCTATAGGCTGTGTCGGCGGGGGTGCACAAGGACATTATCTTGCCATGAGAATTGTTAGCAGTCAGGTGGTAAACATGGTGGTCATCTCTGGGGCTGAGGGATAAGTGAAGACAATGTCTCAGAAGCAATCCTCTGAGCAAGGGTAAATGGGAGATAACATTTTGCAAGTCTAGGGTGATGAGTGTAGAGTAGGCTCAGTTTTGAGTGGAGACCAGATGTGGGCAGCTCCTCTTTGCTATAAATTGGACCTAAACCAAAGATCTGCTTGAGCAAAAAGTTATTTTGGGAACAGAGCACATGGGTACTGTATAACAAAGTGCTCTGTAGCATCTGTAAGGGTAGAATGCCACCATGTATCTTACTGGTTTGTTGGTCAAAGCTCAAAGGGAGAAGATGAGCTAAGGTTGCATTGCAGGGGTTGTGTGTACATTACTGCCAAGGTTCCTCCCCCACTCTGAACTCTAGGGTACAGATGTGGGGACCTGCATGAAAACCCCCTAAGCTTACTTTTACCAGCTTAGGTTAAAACTTCCCCAAGGTACAAATTAATTTTATCCTTTGTCCTTGGAATATCCACTGCCACCACCAAACTCTAACTGGGTTTACTGGGAAACGTAGTTTGGACACGTCTTTCCCCCCAAAATCCTCCCAACCCTTGCACCCCACTTCCTGGGAAAGGTTTGGTAAAAATCCTCACCAATTTGCATAGGTGACCACAGACCCAAACCCTTGGATCTGAGAACAATGAAAAAGCATTCAGTTTTCTTACAAGAAAACATTTCTTTTAATAGAAATAGAAGTAAATAGGAGTAAAGGAATCACCCCTGTAAAATCAGGATGGTAGATACCTTACAGGGTAATTAGATTCAAAACATAGAGAATCCCTTTAGGCAAAACTTTAAGTTACAAAAAAGACATACAGACAGAAATAGTCATTCTATTCAGCACAGTTCTTTTCTCAGCCATTTAAAGAAATCCTAATCTAACACATACCTAGCTAGATTACTTACTAAAAATTCTAAGACTCCATTCCTGTTCTATCCCTGGCAAAAGCAGCATATAGACAGACAGAGACCCTTTGTTTCTCTCCCTCCTCCCAGCTTTTGAAAGTGTCTTGTCTCCTCATTGGTCATTTTGGTCAGGTGCCAGCAAGGTTACCTTTAGCTTCTTAACCCTTTACAGGTGAGAGGATTTTTCCTCTGGCCAGGAGGGATTTTAACGGGGTTTACCCTTCCCTTTATATTTATGACAATTACCCTTGAATTTCTTGGTTTTCAGAGACTTAAGTTTAACTACTCTCCACATTCCAGAAGGGCACAAGGCACCACTAGGCAAGCTTTAACTCTCCCTTAATTAAGTTTTTGGGCAGTAAACTACCTTGTGTCTCGGTGGTTTTTTTGTGTGTGATTTTTTTTTTAATCAAATTGTTCAAACATGGAGAATAAGGTGATAAGTAAAAGCCAGCATCGGTTTGTCAAGAACAAATTGTGCTAACCCAACCTCACTTCCTTTGACAGGATAACCAGCGCAGTGGATGGGGGGAATTAGTTGGCAGGATATACCTGGACTTGAGAGGTTTTTGGCACATTCTTATAAGCAAATGAGGGAAACAGGGCCTAGATGCCATTACTATAAGGTGAGTGCAAAACTTGTTGAAAGACCATTCTCAAAGACAACGAGCACCTTAAGACTGACAAATTTATTTGGGCATAAGCATGGAGTTTTATCCCACGAAAGCTTATGCCCAAATAAATTTGTTAGTCTTAAGGTGCCACAAGTACTCCTTGTTTTTGCTGATACAGACTAACACTGCTACTACTCTGAAACCATTCTCAAAGAGTTTACTACTCAAGTCATACATGCAGGAGCACAATGATATCCATGTGCACAATGATAACCAAGGTAGAATATGTTTTGTGGACAATGAGTCATAAAAATACTGCTTTTTAAAAAAAATAAAATAAACGGACTGAAACTCAATTTCTAGTAAAAAGAAAAGGAGTACTAGTGGCACCTTACAGACTAACCAAATTATTTGAGCATAAGCTTTCGTGAGCTACAGCTCACTTCATCGGATGCATTCAGTGGAAAAAAAAGTGAGGAGATTTATATACACCCAGAACATGAAAAAGTGGGTGTTACCATACATATTGTAAGGAGAGTGATCACTTAAGATGAACTATTAAAAGCAGGCAGGGGGAGGGAAATCTTTTGTAGTGATAATCAAGGTGGGCCATTGCCAGCAGATAACAGGAACGTCTGAGGAGCAGTGGGGGGTTGGGGGGAAATAAACATGGGGAAATAGTTTTACGTTGTGTAATGACACATCCACACCCAGTCTCTATTCAAGCCTAAGTTAATTGTATCCAGTTTGCAAATTAATTCCAATTCAGCAGTCTCTCAGTGGAATCTGTTTTTGAAGTCTTTTTGTTGTAATATTGCAACCTTTAGGTCTGTAATCGAGTGACCAGAGAGATTGAAGTGTTCTCCAACTGGTTTATGAATGTTATAATAATTCTTGACATCTGATTTGTGTCCATTTATTCTTTTCACATCAGCCACACTATCAGAGGCTCGTTCACCTGCACATCTACCACTGTGATATATGCCATCATGTGCCAGCAGTGCCCCTCTGCCATGTACATTGGTCAAACTAGACGGTCTCTACGTAAAAGAATAAATGGACACAAATCAGATGTTCCTGTTAACTGCTGGCAATGGCCCACCTTGATTATCACTACAAAAGGTTTTCACCCCCCCCCCCCTTGCTGGTAATAACTTATCTTAAGTGATCACTCCCCTTACAATATGTATGATAACACCCATTTTTTCATGTTCTGTGTGTATATAAATCTCCTCACTGTATTTTTCCACTGAATGCATCTGCTGAAGTGAGCTGTAGCTCACGAAAGCTTATGCTCAAATAAACTGGTTACTCACTAAGGTGCCACAAGTCCTCCTTTTCTTTTTGTGAATACAGACTAACACAGCTGCTACTCTGAAACCTATCAATTTCTAGTGTAGGACAGGAACTGGGCGTACTACTCCAGCCACCTGAGCAGCCCATTAGACAAATGTGTGAACTGTTCTGAGGCTCCATGCAGTCATGTCACAGCTCTGTGCATTGACAAGGTGGTATTTGAAACCCCAGAAAAGTATGTACGTTCGGACTTGTTTAGTCTGCGTGCGCGCTAAGGGTTCATAGACTCCGGTCTCCTTTCGCAGCTGGGTACATCATCTCACAGAGGGAAGAGCTGCTCTGCCGAGGCACTGGGCCATGCTGCGGCTGCTGAGACGTTCCGTCCCGCCAGGAAACAAACCCCCCTCGGCCACCGACACCCAATTTCTGCAACCACTGCCGCGGGCTCACCCCAAGGGGGTCCCCTTCCAATCCCCCTGCTCCTCCCTACGCCGGGATCGCCGCCGCCGCCGCGGCTGCCTGGCAGCGCCTCCACCCGGTTCCAGCCTCCTGCCCCGCCCCATCTGCCTCTCATACCTGGCGCAATTCTATCCCCGCCCCGTTCACAGCAGCGAACAGATGGTGACGCCAACCAAGGGCAGAACCGAATGCCCCGACCTCAGCCGCGGTTACTGCGCATGCTCACATCACTTGTCGGTCCGGCCCCTCCCCGCAGGCACGGCCCCGGTTCCCATGGTAACGACTCTGCGCGTCCTAGGACTCGCCTAGCTGCGGTAGGTGTAGCTGCGCCGGCGGGTGAGCGGGGCCCGTGTGGGTATCGCTCCCTGCCCGGCTCAGTCACCCCGCGGGGGTTCGGTGCTAGAGGCGGGGTTGGTCGGGTGAGGCCCCGCTTGCCGGGCCCCTGGGGTGGGGGGTGTTAATCCCTCTATGCGTTTCCGGTTTGCCCCCTCCCGGGGTGGTGCCGTGCGAAGTGCGGGAGGACAGCGAGGATACACCCAGCCCTTCGTGTGGGCGGGGGGATCTTGCTGCTCGGAGCAGATCTACACAGAACCGGCGCTCGCAGGGCTCTCCACTGGGAGTAAGCTGGAGAGTGTGTCTGGCGCTGTACGTCCAAAGAGGCGCAGAAGCCGCGGTGCGATTCGTGCTGCCTGCTTGGGCGGTGCCATGGTGTCAGGGCCCTTGCACTGAGCTGGAGGCTCGCTCCTGTGTTGTGTGCCACAAATGCTTTTCTTTTCAAAATATTATTTGCCCTGTTGCTATTGTAAATGCAACACAATGACGTGGTTCCAGTCTCCTGGAGCTGAGTCCTGAGTGAGCTGGAAAAAGTGATTGAAAAGAATCCTGAGGGGAGCAGTAGGAGCACCGCTCACTCAACACTTATCAGTTTAAAATACTTTCCCTAGCTTCTTGCAAACTGGAGCATGTTTAAAAAATTAAATATGCAAACAATTAAGAGTCTGCAGTTAAGTTACACAAAGAATAGTGTGTTCCCAGACAAATTTGCAGTTGGTTAATATAAGATTTCCTTTACCCTCCTCAAAGTTCATCAGATACTTAATTTGCAAAAATCTAAAAAATTGCAAATGGCAAGAGTCCTCAATCCTCCACTGTGTGACATGTTGTTCCATGTTGTACATTAAAATGATGCATCACACAGTGAATTCCTTTAACTGTGTTTTTATCCATTATTCTTAAGCTCTTTGTTTTTAGTTCCCATCTCTCAAAGCCACTTCAGCCTTATCCCTCCTCTTCTGTTTTCATCCTTTTCTTACCTACATATCTATCTTCATATTGCTGCTGGTCTTTCTCTTTTCCTGTTTCCTGATGGCATGGTTAGTGAAGCAGCACCAGTTCTCAGGAAGGCTGCCTCTTCACTAGGGAATGTTCAGAAAACATTGCTACTGGTGCTAACACTACTGGGAGCCCTAATGTAGGAAAAGCTCTGGTGAGATCCAGCATTTTGAGCAGCTGAAAGTTGTAGCACAGGGGGAATTTCCCCTTAAAAGTCTGTAACATAGACATGACTGAAAATGCTTTACTTCACACACTGTTCATGGATGTTGTTTCTTGAAGTCTTGATTCAGCACAGAGGGATGGAAGCATCACACTTTGGTGGTGGTCTTTTGTCAAGGTGACATTTTGTTATTCTTGAATATTTTATAAATAAGTATCAATTTTATACAGTTAGTCATATAATAGATAAATGGTTATACAGATATCTCTGTGACACCCATTCATGTAAGTGGATCATATGGGAGGATTTGGGCCCATGCAAAGTTCCGTTAACTTTTGACACACTCATCATGAACTTAGGAGTTTGGCTGCGTGAATCAGGTTGCAGAGTCAGGGCTTTTGTACAGTGCCATAAGCATTTATGGTGCTTTGCAGATGAAAAGTGACATGGCCTCTGCTCCGAGAGCTTAAAGTCAATACTCTATTTGAGGGCAACTAAATGTCTTGATCCCTATTACTGCAAAAGCTGATTGGTTTTAATGGTGTGTGGATTTGGAACATGCTTTAGAAGAGAGGTAGATGAAACAAAATGATATTAGCCATTATATAGAGTAAATTTAATAACTTCATTTGGATTCTATAGAGTCTATAAATTTGTTATCCTTATTTTTAGCCATCTTAGGAGTGAACAAGTGCCTTCTATACAGTAAGTGTTCAGTTATATTCTCTATCCTCTACCATTCGCCAGTCCAAAGCCCTGTAAGATTGACTTTATTGATTTCTAGAATGCCTATTGTGGCAGCAAAGTCCTTAATCATAGGAACACAGGAATTGCCATACTGGATCAGTAGAGCCCTGCAAATCTGCAGATATCAGCTTTATATCTGTGGATATCTGCAGATGCAGTGAATATCCACAGACCATGTTTGCAGATCATGGATGGATAAGGATCCAGATTTTCTATCTAGAGCCCTTCAAATCTGCAGATATCCACTGACCATGTGTGTGGATCACTGATCAGATGCAGATACAAATTTTGTATTCTCACAAGGCTCTATGAATCAGACCCAGTCTGTCTAATCTGTTATTCTGTCTCTTACAATGGCCAACACCAGATGCTTCAGAGGAGGGAATAAGAATGCCATACTAGGCAATGTGGGATAACCTATCCCCAACATACACAGCAATCATCACGCTATCTAATAGCGATTGGCTTAAACCCTGAAGCACAAGGTTTAATATCCCTTCCAAAATGTTGTCATTAGTTAAGATTGTCATGCTGCCTGGTAGGGGACACAGCTAAGAGTGCCATTCTCAGGTCAGACTGACATAAAAGAGGGCACGTACCCCAAACTGGTGGTCTATTCTATCATGAAATTTCACTAAGCCAGTAACAAATGTTTGCTTCCAAAATACTATATTAGTTATAATTAGGGTGACCAGACAGCAAATGTGAAAAATTGGGACGGGGGTGACTGGTAATAGGAGCCTACATAAGAGAGAGACCCTAAAATCGTGATATCTGGTCACCCTGGTTATAATGAAGCCAAAGACAGCCCCCTTTCAGGCCCTCTAGCCCCTCATGTACCAAACCAGACTTCTATGATAAATTATTAAAACCAAGAATCCCATATATTAGGTTCTTCCAGTTCAAAAGAACCAGAGGCACACCCAGATTAAATATATTTCAGTTCTTCCCCAAAACCCACTCCAGTAGCCAATCCTTTAGTAATTACAAAACTAAACGTTTATTAATGTATAAAAAAAGAAGAGTTAAGAGGTTAAAATGAATCATATGCATTACAGTTGTTTGTAGATCAGGATAATAGCAGTGATTTTTAAATCTGCCAGTTTGCAAAAGTCTCTCTGATTCTCCCCAGATATTGGGGTCCTCAGGTCATTGTTCAAAGTTCTTCTTTGTTAGAAATCATAATCCAGAGATGTGGAGCAGGAAAGAGGCAAGAGAATGATATCACACTCTCCAGTTTATACCCCGCAGCCCACGTGTATGGAGAATTACTATCTCAAACATGGAGTGAAGCATCACATGTTCTACATGCCCTGCTAAGTCAGTGGGCCTCCATTGTCCATATGCTCTCTGAGACATTCTCAAGAGAGGCCTATTAGAAGAGTTGATTCTCCTTAACCATGTCTGGCTCGTCTGGATATAAATCTATCTTGTGGGTGTTACCCAAGCACATATCAATGTGTAGGAAGTTATGAATCTTTGCTAATACACACAACATAAACTGGATAACATTGTGCAACAGATTTCAAATTTTCCAATGATACTTTATAGAAGATCTATTGCAATTGTATAACAGTTGTAACAAACAATGATATAAATGGTGATCTTTTTATAGAACATCACAGTGATAACCGTGGGTATTTTCATATCCATATAACTATCCAGTCCCTCTTTGAATCTTGTTAAATTATGGGTTCAGCAATTTCCTGAGTTAGTGAGCTTCATAGTTTAATCACATGTTGTGTGAAAAAGTATTTCCTTTATATTGGCTTTGAATTTCCCACCTTTTTAATTTCATTTCATGTCCCCTGAATCACTTGCTTAATTTTAATATGTACTTCATGCTTAAGTGATATGCTGAATCAGAGCCTTATGGTCTTCTCCAAAGCCCATTAAAATCAATAGAAGCCTTTCTATTGACTTTGGTGGGTTTTGGATCAGGCCCTTAGTGTCTAGTCCACCTCTCATTGAAACCAGTGGAAAGACTCCCATTGACTTCAGTGGGAGATAGATCTGGCCCCTATTTAAAGTCGAATTATGCTACTCTCTTTCACAGAATATCAGTTTATCCTGTGGATTGTCTGATTGCTATTAGTAAATGCAGTACAATTTGACCCATGCAGAATAAGTAAAATGTAGAGAGATTATCACTCATTTAAATGAACATCAAAATGAGTTTAAAGGGATATTAACATAAATTGCTTCACTGAAATGTATTACCAATACCTTCCTGTTTTTGCGTACTTATAATTTATATGTAAAGTTTGTCCTTAAGTTTTGGAAATAAAATAAATCACCAAAACTTTCATACACTTATGAAGAAAAAAACTAAAATAAATGAAAAACAAATTAAACACTAAACTAAAACATGTATTGCATCTTGCCATGAAGCTAACTTGGGCTGTAAAATACAATTGCAGATGTGCAGTAAGAGATGAGATTTATAGAAGGATTTGTTCTAAAGTCTTGTTCCATCTCTAGCCTTCCTGTCACTGGAACAAAAATATCAATGACCAATCAGTGACTGACCATCTCTCAGTATAGACCACTGCCAAACAGAACTCCCTTTCATAGAAAAACTTATTTAATCACAGACACAAATACAAATCTAGAATTTCTAAAAATTATAATTCTTGACTGAGATTAATTGTTTTTTTAATGACATGGTGGTTTGAGATGTTTAGATGAAAAGTGTCATTGTATACTGTAAATCTGGGTGTTTGTATAATGTCTAGCTTTCACTTGTGCTGTGAAATACAATTGTAAATGTTATCAATAATATTAAATCCCTATTAATCCCCACAGCCGCCTCAACGTAGTGCCCTACTGTATCTCTTTCCTTACCCTCCATTACCTTATTGATATGCTAGTCTAAGTGATGAGGAACAAATATGCATTTTAGAAATTTTAGCACAATATTTTTTGTGTGCTACTGCTCACTATAGCCGCAATGAAATGGATTTTGCTTTTTCAGAAAGGCTAATTTAAATAGGTTTTGCTACCTTTTGATTGATTGGTATCTATCAACTGCTCCTGACAAGTAACAGAAAATTTCCATTCAATAAATGTAACAAATAGCTAACTTTCTTTCCCCCTTTAAAATCCTGTTTCCCACTCCTATTAAAAGTTTATGTCTTGGGGCCTGCCAGCAGGTCTTGCAATACCTACATTTAAACCAAAATTAAAAGTAAGGGTGCTCCTGCTGCTAATGTCTCAGATCACAAACATGCAAAATGAAGGAACTGGCAGCTGAAGCTTTAATGGTGGGAAGTGTAGGCTGAGTACTTGAGAGGAAAGAACACAGTAGCTGTATGTGACAAAAAAGTTCTGTTAACATTTATGTACTTCAAAAAAGACAAACTAGACCGCTCTGTATAGCGACGGGGACTTTTTGGTTTTGTTCTCCATAAGTAAAAGCCTGTGTTCATACAGCATTACTTAGTTATAAAGTTAAGTGGTTTCTATTATTTATTTTGTAGGATAATACAATGCCTGCTGTTGCATCATTATTACACATTGCATGTTTTATCATTTCTTTATTTTACCTATCTATTTAATAAGATACTTTTGACATTTGACAGCCCAGTAGACCCTTAAAGAAACCTGATTCTGATCTCAGTTACACCCATCTAAATCAGCAGTACCACAATGCAGTTACAAATGAGATCAGAATCAGTCCCAGGCATTATGTCCCAATCCAGTAACTCCAAAGACCCAATCCTGCAAAGACATATGCACATTAATCACAGGTGCAAGTCTTTAAAGCAGAGGGACCTAATTTCACATATTATGAAACAAAAGGGGAAAAACAGTAAATGGGGAAAGACTGAGGAAGGGTAAGGGTAAGTCATGGGTCACAGGAAAGACACTATTTTAAATTTTATGTGTATTTTTTTTTTTTTAGTTCAGAATGAGTACTTTGCCTCCTGTGCAGATACAGTGTCCAAAGGAACATCGCAGCCTTGTAGAGCAGATGGTTTGCCCTTCAATAAAACTTGCAAGGTATGTGTGTCTCATTGACTTTTGGAAGACTAACACTTTTGCTGTAAATAGCTTCAATCAGATATCTTAAAGAAAAGACAAATTATGGTTTGAGTAGTAGGGATATTTTAAAGCAAAAGTTTAAGACAAGAAAATAATCTATGAGCAAAATTACATGCACATAATGAATAAAAGGCAATAGGAAGTGCAAACTCACTTGTCTTTTTACGATAGAACAATAGAACCCAAATGATCTTCTTGTCATCTAAAATATATTATGTACTGAACATGTCCATACTTGAATTGGCATCATCTAATCCACAAAGTTGCCTGCAGTTTCAGTAAAATTAAGTTCAATGAAATTTCAAGATGCTGCTTAAAGACTGAAGAAAAGCTTTCAAACAATCAGTGAAGTAAGTAAAGGCAGGAGAGATTAGTACCACCATTTTTCTTTGTCATTATGATAGATTTCAAAAGAGCTCTATTCATGGTATACACTTTCTCCTACATTTTCAAAAGAGTCCTTTCCTCTTAGTAGGTGTTTACAAATTGGCATGAAAAAATTACCCAACACTTGATAGTTCAAGGACCAAACCTACTCACCAGCCTGAAATACACCAGTGCCTCAACTCATACCCCATACCAAGTCATGTCTCCAGCTACCTGGTATGCCATTAGTTAGTTGCTCCCCACTGCTTGGGTTGGAAGACCCTAGTCTCCCACTGGTTGAGTACTGAGATCCCAATTAATGCTGCTTGCCACTCCAAATAAATCGGTTTAATGTTGGGTCACAGTAAATTAATGCTAAGCAGCCCTGCTTAACCTCCCCCAAATCAATTTATTTTAGTCCTAAACAAAGAGTTCTCTGCATTGAGAGATGCATCAAGGCTGAGGGTTTTTCTACCTCCTGGACCAGACTGCAGCATTTAGAGACTGAGAACAGGATGTAGTGGGTTGAGGAGCAGAGATGCTCCAGCTGGCCTGAAGACCAACAGTGGCAGGACTCCTGCCTGATTTAGCAGAGAGCTCTTGTATGGGACAGTCCTTGCAGAGATTTAGCAGAGAATTCTGTATGGGATAGGTGTGGGGGGGAAGGAGGGATGGAAGCAGCCTCTTGCCATCCTAGCAACGGGCTCCTTGCTATTGCCACACCCTAGTAGAGTACTCTGGGATGGTGGCAGTGGAGCTCCGTATACACAGAATCCTCTGGGGTAGTAGGTGCCCTTGTTGGCAGAGTAATGTTGATGTGGGCACCATATAAACACATAGATCCCTTTGCTGGAATGGTTTGTCCCCCTTAGAATTCCTTCTGAGGGAGGCAAACTCCCAGTTCCCTCTGTGCCAGAAGGTAGGAGTAGGAGCTCCTTCAGGGTATTTTAGTCCTAACAGTAGTAGCCCCTCTCCAGTCTAATGCTAGCAGCAGCTTTGGAGCGGTCTCTGTGCAAGCTTCAAAAGATGTCACCACAGTCTGAGTGACACAGGAGTACACCTGCTATGCCACTAGCATTGGGACTCCATAGCAGATCAGTTGATGCCTCCATTGCCTTCTGTTCCTGAAGCCTCTCCCCCAATTACTTCTCTTTCCTCCCTGCATCCCCGTTGAACCTTTGCTCTCTGGTTCTAGCCATGTTCCCTTGCACGTCAGGCAGCCAGCTTCTTTCCCTATTCAAAACCTCCAACAAACTTATGCTATCCGGATCTGAAACAGGCAGAGGGGTGGGCGAAATGTTTAAAAGTTTAAGTACTTCAGTAGTTCACTTTAGTACGGCCTTCCAAGCCTCTGGCCACACACTGAGGCAACCTTTCAGTGCAATCCAGCCCTGTTCACGTCTTGCTGGATCTGGAGCAGAGAAATGGGGCTGGATCATTTACTCTGTGTAGCCCAGGCTTCCCTGAATCTCTCACTCCCCTCAGGCTTCCCTGAGCAAGCCCTGTCTTGCCATTTTCCCTTGAACATTCTTCCTTTCACTATGCCCATGCTCCCTTGGCATATACCTGCTCCCTCTGTGTCTCCTGCAAGGGTCCTTCAAAATCATACTAACATGGCCGGTAACTCTGACTTTGATTAATATAGCTTACCAATAGATAATCTTTGAGTAAAGTCTGTTACTATTAACTATCAAAACAATCCATGGTTGGCTTTATAAGCCTTTGTGTGATTGTGGTGTGTTTTTTTTGTTTTTTTGTTTTTTTTTTAAGAACTGGATAGGGGTATGTGGTAATTTTATTTTGGAAATTAAAGGGAGTTTGTTATGGATGTAAGGAATCTGTTGGCATGTTTGAGTATTATGGTTGAGTGATAAATCATGGGAATGTTAATGTTACTGTAACTTGATTTCTTTGATATTTTGTGTCTGCATTGAAATGTTGGGAAACTTTGACTCTAAGTTAACAGTTTTTGAAGTGGGAATAAGATAAGATTTAAATTGTATTTATCGCTCTTTATCTTCGCGTGGTTCTGTTTTGTGTGAATGTTACAAGGCTGATTTTTTTTCTTTGTTGTATGAATAAAGAATCTTTTCAGTAAAAGAAATTGGATAATTTTGCCCTATAAGCTGAGGAGGCAAACAATTGTAAAACAGCTGCTTCAAAATGCGAGCAAGTATGATTGGTCATCAGTAAGAAGATGACAAAATTGATTTTTTTTTCTCTTAAATAAGAAATCAATTTAAAACTAAATAGAAATCAACTTAAAGGGAAAAGTTCTTTATATAATCTATATTTATGAAATGTGATGAGTCATGGCAACGTTGAAATAGGGGGCTGAAACTGATTGGTAAAACAAGTGACAACTTCTGGAAGAAAAAGGATAGTGATTCTTACCCTATTTCACCTCCACCCCATCTCTCAATTATGACAAAATGACATTTCCAAATAAGTGCACATGACACCTCGAAACAGACATAAAACGCAGCCAGATAATTTTCACATTCATAATTTTTGTTCCTTTCAATTCTGATTGTTTAGAACACCCTGGTTAGAGCTTTATCCTTTTTCCTATTTGGTAGTAATTGAACTGACTCTTGTGTTTTTATGGTGAATAAGATAATATGGTTCTTCTGTCTTTTCTTTCTTGTTTGTGCACAAACATCATTGATGGTGTCAGCACAGGTCTAAGAGAAGTGTTTATTTTTCCAAGTAGCTTGAATTCTTCATGATGGATATCTTCCTTGGCAGCCTCTTTAATACAGCATAAAACATTGTAGGTCTTTTGTAAACAGTAGCTTATCTGTGAGGGGGGTGTGTGTGTGTTCAATTCTTGGCTATGCTTAATTTTTTTTTTTTTTTAAACTCTCGAGCACATTTCTCCCCCGCCCCTCCCCATCAGATTAGATCATTTTAAACCTGGACTACATGACAAGTGCGACTTTAAGCTTTGTGATTCATCTTTGCTGTCTACAGAGTGTAGTGTTTAAAATAAATAAATAAATAAAGATTCCCAAGAAGCAGAGGTGAGACAACAAACTTTCCGTCCATCTCATTGGAGATTATATTTAAATGGTGATTTAAATTAAATGTTGGTTAGATAATTGTGAAGTTGAACATTGCTACCTCTAGATATTTTCTGCCTTTTCTTTGTATTTGGAATGCCTGAAGGAGCAGGAGGTTCCTTTTGCAGACCTCCTAAAGTGCATAGTTTCAGGTCATTTTGGTGGTGTCTAGCCAAAGAGTTTTTGTTTTTAATTACATAGTCATATACTATTTCTCAAATATATCTACATTCTTGGCTAAACATGTAGTATTGTGTAATACATCTTTTACATTATTGTACACTATTTGTATTGTCCTAATGGTCCATAATATCTTCATTGATTTAGGCTTGTAGGCTTAGTCTGCAGACTTTGATTTGGATTGTAATTAGATTATAATTTGATTATTATGATACATTTTTTTTCCTAAGGTATGTATTTTCATGTAACCAGCAGTGCGTTCTATGTGCATGGCCTTTCTTAGGTGCAATTGAGGAATGAGATAGTGTACTATAAGGCTAATGTACCTTAAGTGCAGTTAAGGCAGCAATAGTTAAGTATGAGATGAATTTAAGTGGCCTGTATATGACAGCAATTTTTTTTCATTTTTTTGTTTTTATTTTTCTTTCCTACTTCATAGGGTTGCTAAGTTTCTATCACGCAAAACTGAAACACCCTAGCCCCGCCCTTCCCCCAAGGCCACACCCCTGCTCAGTACTTTTCCCCTCTCTTGGTGGCTTGCTCTCCCACACCCTCATTCACTTTCAATGGGCTGGAGCAGGGGGTTGGGGTGTGTGTGGGGGGGTGAGGGCTGTAATTGAGGGGTGTGGGCTCCAAGGTGGGGCCAGAAATGGGGGGTTCAGGGTGCAGGAGGGGGTTCCAGGCTAGGGCAGGGGCTCGGAGTGCGGGCTCTGGGGTGTGGCTGGGATGAGGGGTTTGGGGTACAGGAGGAGGCTCCAGGCTGGGGGATGGGGCCAAGGGATTTGGAATGTGGGAGGGGTCTGCGGGTTGAGGAAGGGTGTTGGGAGGGAGTAAAGACTCTGGGCTGGGGGTGTGAGCTCTGGGTTGGGGCTGGGGATGAGGGGTTTGGGGTGCAGGAGGGGGCTCCAGGTTTGGAGTGGTTCAGGGCTGGGATAGGGGGTTGGGGCTCAGGGTTGGGGTGCAGGATTACCTCTGGCGGCTCCCAGTCAGTGGCGCAGTGAGGCTAAGGCAGGCTCCCTGCCTATCCTGGCACCATGCTGCGCCCTGGAAGCAGCCAGCAGGTCCGGCTCCTAGGCAGGGGGGCCAGGAGGCTCCGTGTGCTGTTCTCGCCCACAGGCACAGCCCCACCCCCCAGCTCCCATTGGCTGCGGTCCTGGCCAATGGGAGTGCAGCGCCAGTGCTTGGAGCGGACACAATGCATGGAGCCCCGTGCTTCCTGCACCTAGGAGCAGAACCTGCTGGCCACTTCCGCGGTACAGTGCAGTGCCAGGATGCAGCACCACCGACCGCACTTTTAACTGCCCAGTTGGAGCTGCCAAAGTCCCTTTTCAACCGGGCGTTCTGGTAGAAAATCGGACACCTGGCAACCCTACTACTTCAGTGCGGTATATTTTGTAAACACCGTTTTATGTACACATAAATGATTTTTGTGGACTTTTTCTGGCATTCATAGAGTAATAGGCAATGCTACAAAATGTTATCCAGATGTCCATACAATTATGGAAAAAATATATCAGAGGGAGAGGATTTAATTAAGTAATTAAAGACTGCAATGTAATACATATCCACAAAGGGGCAGAGATATGAATTTACATGCAACAAGGCTTAACCATACAATCTTAATGTTCTTTTCTCATAGTTTTTTATTGAATAAAAGTTAATTCACATCACTGCTATAAAAGTAATATCCTCTAATGTGATGCTCTCAGTATGTATAAGAAGGCATCATTCCTTTTCTGGTCAGTAAATAATGCCTTTGCAACTCCAGGGCCTTTGTGGAGTTTGGAGTCACAATTAAAGAACTGAAATGTTGGCTGAAATTGAATTGTCTGTCAGTCCAATTTCCAACCTTACCACTAGAACAGAACACACTGAAGTCAATGGGAGTCTTTTTGGTGACTTCAGTGGGCTTTGGGTCAGGCTTTAATGAAGGTCAACCATTAGGATATGCTCTTGAGATTTTTAGATAGGTAAAATTGTCTCTGAGCCTAAATTACACTACACAATCTGTGTGTGAGTAAATTTGGTTTCTAAAGAGTCTAGTACAAAACAGATTTGACGCTCTGCTTAGTCCATGCTGTCAAGGCAAAAACATAATGATTCCATTTTGGAAAAAAGTTTGAGTGTAGCGGGTTGCTAAACACTGATTTTACCTAAAAATGAACTCTGTAGTGTGTATATAAAACCTTTGGATAACAGGGTCCCTAAATACCAAAGCCAACTCTGCTTCCCTGCAAAAATAAAGATTTGAATAGCTACAGACCAAAAAGTTAATATGATACTTGTAGGTGTTTATAAAATGTGTCTGATAAATACTGAAATATTGACAAAGTAATGTATCTGTCTCGAAGTGGCAATGATGATACATTATACATGCTGCAGACGTCTACTTTAGCACCTCAGTGTTTCTTTTAATTTTTTTTTCATTTAAATTTAGGATTCATTTGATCAAAGACAAAGATGCCATAGATCATTATTTGGCGATGAATATCAAAGGGTTGTCAAAACAAGAGGCTGCTGCGTAAGTATGGCCTTTTTGAGGCATTTTAACACACAGTAAGTTTATTGTTTCCTTTGTTTCTAGTCATCATATTCAATAAAATCTGAAATTCCCCAGGCCTTACACCTTCCTGAGTGGAACTTGGAACTTAAAAATGATGATTCACTTCTACTGATTTTACATTGATCAAAGCATTTAATCCCATGGTTTTATTAATTCTCACATTTACTGAGGTTGTATCACATTTGAAACATTATAGCTAGACTCTGCCAGTAATTATATTTGAAATCACCTAAAAAAAAAAAAAAGCCTGTGTGAAAACATCTCCTGTGGGTCTGAAGTTTTGTGAACGAAAAATAAATGTTCTTGTAATACTGAATTAACATTTAGCCAATCCCCACCCCCAAATGCTGATTTTAAGATGCAGCATTTCATACACCATTAATTCTTTAAAAAGCTAATGGATGAAAGCACACTAGATACATTTTTATTTCTTACTGTTGAGATATTTACATTTAAAAGTTACAAAAGATTACACACTGATTACTTTTTCTGCAGTGCTTTATCAGATCTGGGATTTTGCTCCATCAGAATTAATCAAGGGATCCTAAAAATTTGGAATTACTGGTAGCTTAAAGTGGGATTTATTTTTTCAATATTTAAATAATAAAAAGATGCCTCTAGAAAGTTAATTAACTATTAATATTGCAACATAATCCCATCAGTGTTAAAACAATCCCTTGATCCAACAGGAGTTGGCCAGACAGCCACATAAGAAAAAAAAAAAGTACTTGTCTCTTCTACATTTCAAGAACGTACCCTCAACTCTGTCTCCATATTCTGGCAAATACATGTCTTTTGCAGCATGCCCTGAAGGTTCCCAAGTTCAAGCTATTTCTGACCAAAGAAATGGGTGTAACAAGTTCAAGAGTCCTAACAGAGTGGCCTGCCAGCATCCCCCATTTCTTTTGTAATGTTCTGGATTCAGCTTGAGTGCTTCTCTTTACCACAGTTGTGGCAGATTCAAGAGTTGCTCAAGCTCTCTAATGTGTCAGCAGGAAAGATCCTAATGTATCTTGGGAAGGATGTGTTCAGAAAGTAGTTTGTTAAAATAAACTTTAGAGTTGGGAAATTACTGGAAGATGATGGACTTCAAATAGATCCAAATTATGGGGCAGATTATGACTTTGTGTATATTACAAAGGAGAAGAAAGATGTAAGGATGCTTCCATTCCTTATCTGTGTGAATTATCTGTATCATGGGTCACACTGTGAGATAGAGAGCAGGAGCAGAGAGTGGGCAGAACCTGTTCCGCTGCGTCTTTGTGCTAGCTAGCACAGATGGTGAAGAAATCTGCAACCAGTGTAAGGACTGGCTTGGATTACTTCCCTAATGGGGAGAGGGGTAAACCAGGAACCAGACTGTCACTTTTTAAATCACAGTATGATCCCTGGTCTGCTGCTGGAGCTTACCCTTACTTAGGGGTTCTGGCAGAGCCACAATCAAGACCTATTTAAGTAACAAATCTCTCCCTGGACAACTCTGTGGGTACAGATGGTCTGAATGAAGTGGAGCTAATGTGGTTCCAGTGTGCAGGGGGAGGAGGAGCAGAATACAGAGAGCCTACAGAGGAAGAAACATGTATTCACTCATTATTACCCCTAGCAACATGGAAGGGGAGAACACTAGCCATGGAGGGCTACTACAGCTTTGAAACTGCAACAGTGGTTGCATACTGGCTTTCCTTCTTAATGGTGGAAGTTTGCTTCTCTGCCTGGCCCCGTGTGGATCTCCCCAGCACACAACCTATGCAGGGAAAGAATGGTCTTCCTGTCCAACTTTGGGAAAGCTCTCATGCATCTATATTGTAGAGTTCTAATTTCATGAGATCAACTTTCAGCCATAATATTTCTGTAGGATTTTTTTTACATGTAAACCATGAGTGCTAAAAGAGTGAGGTTGCAAGACAGGAAAATGCAAGGAAATCCACAGTGGAATGGGAAATGTACCATCTCTCCTTTTGTATGGGGAGACACTGGGGTCCAGTAACACAACATGCTGCTTTCAAAGTTATGAAAGCCTTTTGATGGACTAAAACTGAAATATGTGTAATTGGGTGTATCTTTATTCGTATGTTAGAAGTGAACCTCTTTTAAAAGGTTATGTTTTTTTCTTATCTTTAGAATTTTAATGAATACTAATAGTAACTCAGAAGAAAGTAACAACCTTACTTCTACATACAGTTTATCAGTGCTGTCCTGTGTACCTACTTAGTACATCCTGTGACAAGGTCGGGCCAGATGGCTACAGGAGAGTAATAGAAGGCAGATATATTAGCCCCAGGTTAAGTAGGTCCCTTTTCCCTGGGTAAGGTGACAGGAAAGGTTCCAGAACAATCAGGAACCTTCTGGAGACAATTAAGACAGACAGACAGGCTGGTTAGAACACCTGCAGCCAATGAAGAAGCTGTTAGAATCAATTAAGGCAGGCTAATCAGGGCACCTGGGTTTAAAAAGGAGCTCACTTCAGTTTGTGGTGCACATGTGAGGAGCAGGGATCAAGAGGCACTAGGAGCTGAGAATGAGAATGTGGACTGTTGGAGGTCTGAGGAGTTATCAGACACCAGGAGGAAGGTCCTATGGTGAGAATAAAGAAGGTGTTGGGAGGAGGCCATGGGGAAGTAGCCCAGGGAGTTGTAGCTGTCGCACAGCTGTTCCAGGAGGCACTCTAGACATTCCACAGGGCCCTGGGCTGGAACCCGGAGTAGAGGGCGGGCCCGGGTTCCCCCCAAACCTCCCAACTCCTGGTCAGACACAGGAGTCGTGGACCTGGACTGTGGGTTCAGAAAAATGGCCAAGCTGAGGGCTGGTGTGAAGCTCCAAGGCGAGCAAATCCGACAATAAGCGCAAGACCCACCAAGGTAGAGGAGGAACTTTGTCACAATCCACAGGGAAGTGTCAAAAGAATATTAACACAGTACACCAACTAGAGAGCTGAGGTGTATTTATTAAGTTTATCTAGTTATTTAAAAAGTAAAATTAAAGTCAGTCAGCTGTCATATCTCTAAATGGCCTCACTGGAGCCTAATTTGTGCTTTGTATTGCTCAGACTACAGATACTTTTTATTACAGAAGCTGCAGGAAAACTTTTATGTTTTGTCGGGTAATTTTTTTTTCTCCTAAGCGTGGATTATTATATTTTACTTTGGGTCTTATATTATATTGAAATAAAGGGGCAGGATATTATCCACTTGCCACCAATTCTCTCGTGTTCATATTTGAAATTATTTTAAAAGATATTAAGTGATGTAAAATGAAACTTTTTCAAAACAGTTAGGCTTGTTAGAAATATTGCTAGAATTAAAATAAGAAAAAAACATTTTTGTAAGCAAATGTTCTGCTGTGTTAGCAACCCCAACATTGCAACACTAAGAACCTAAAAGTGAAATACTATTTTATATTAAAAAAGTGAAATTGACTCTCTTGAATTTCATCATCCAAACTCAGAGAATTACAAAAAAGTAAACAAAGCATAATCAGTTACAAGTGAACTGGAATTTTAAAATTCTTTAACATCTAATTATCTAGATCCCAACTGTGGAACTCATAGTCATAGAATCATAGAATATCAGGGTTGGAAGGGACCTCAGGAGGTCATCTAGTCCAACCCCCTGCTCAAAAGCAGGACCCATCCCCAATTAAATCATCCCAGTCAGGGCTTTGTCAAGCCTGACCTTAAAAACTTCTAAGGAAGGAGATTCCACCACCTCCCTAGGCAACGCATTCCAGTGTTTCACTACCCTCCTAGAGAAAAAGTTTTTCCTAATATCCAACCTAAACCTCCCCCACTGCAACTTGAAACCATTACTCCATGTCCTGTCCTCTTCCACCACTGAGAATAGTCTAGAACCATCCTCTCTGGAACCACCTCTCAGGTAGTTGAAAGCAGCTATCAAATCCCCCCTCATTCTTCTCTTCCGCAGACTAAACAATCCCAGTTCCCTCAGCCTCTCCTCATAAGTCATGTGTTCCAGACCCCTAATCATTTTTGTTGCCCTTCGCTGGACTCTTTCCAATTTATCCACATCCTTCTTGTAGTGTGGGGCCCAAAACTGGACACAGTACTCCAGATGAGGCCTCACCAATGTCGAGTAGAGGGGGACGATCACGTCCCTCGATCTGCTCGCTATGCCCCTACTTATACATCCCAAAATGCCATTGGCCTTCTTGGCAACAAGGGCACCCTGCTGACTCATATCCAGCTTCTCGTCCACTGTCACCCCTAGGTCCTTTTCCGCAGAACTGCTGCCTAGCCATTCGGTCCCTAGTCTGTAGCTGTGCATTGGGTTCTTCCGTCCTAAGTGCAGGACCCTGCACTTATCCTTATTGAACCTCATCAGATTTCTTTTGGCCCAATCCTCCAATTTGTCTAGGTTCCTCTGTATCCTATCCCTGCCCTCCAGCGTATCTACCACTCCTCCCAGTTTAGTATCATCTGCAAATTTGCTGAGAGTGCAATCCACACCATCCTCCAGAACATTTATGAAGATATTGAACAAAACTGGCCCCAGGACCGACCCCTAGGGCACTCCACTTGACACCGGCTGCCAACTAGACATGGAGCCATTGATCTAAACTACCCATTGAGCCCGACAATCTAGCCAACTTTCTACCCACCTTATAGTGCATTCATCCAGCCCATACTTCTTTAACTTGCTGACAAGAATACTGTGGGAGACCATGTCAAAAGCTTTGCTAAAGTCAAGATACAATACATCCACTGCTTTCCCTTCATCCACAGAACCAGTAATCTCATCATAGAAGGCGATTAGATTTGTCAGGCATGACCTTCCCTTGATGAATCCATGCTGACTGTTTCTGATCACTTTCCTCTCATGTAAGTGCTTCAGGATTGATTCTTTGAGGACCTGCTCCATGATTTTTCTGGGGACTGAAGTGAGGCTGACTGGCCTGTAGTTCCCAGGATCCTCCTTCTTCCCTTTTTTAAAGATTGGCACTAC